AAAGTTTAATTTAAGGAACTGCTTCTATCAACACTTATGAAAATTAACAGCCAAGCAATTAGCACTCATGAATTATCCCTTCCCCCATGCTCTCTGCAGCTTCCCTGTTAAAACAGTTTCTAACAGAGAAATGGTTACTTTCTAACAAGTTAACACAATCAAAGTCACAGTTGTCTATAGAAACCAGAACTGGTTCTGCTTTTTTAAGCATTTGTCAGAGCAAACATTCTCCTTATATTTAGAGTATAATTTAGCTAAATCAAATAAGTAAGATATTTAACATTTTAGTAAATTGTCAAGCAATTACTAATATCGAACTATCTTCTCACCTGATGTTTAAGAAATAGCCATTGCCAAAAAAAAAGGGCAGTAATTACTAGTCTTAATCTTCCTATTTAAAGTTAAAGGTCAAAACCCCACTGGACTCCCTGGACTTTCAGCAGGCCAACCACCTTCATCCAGTCTGCCACACATCTTGTTTAACGATGCTTTTCTAAACTCTTGGTTTTAAGAGCACATTTCCTCTCCCCTGATCCTGTCAGTAATCTAAGGAAGTACACAGGAGCTACAGCATCACTAGCCCCCATCCTTTCCAGAGAGAGAAAGAGGCAGAAATGGGGTATTTGTGGAATGCTTGCTACGCGCTACCTCTTGCTAAACAGGGGTCATCTCAACTAATCCTTCTGAGGAAGATACACTATCGTCATCTCACTCCACATATGAGTACTGGAGCTTCTTGAGGTTAAGTAACTAGCCTGAAGTCACACCACAAGTGGTAGAGTCAGGATTCAAACTCAGATCCCACTACAGAATAGGTCTGCTAACAAACTCTCACTGTGCTAAGTGCTTTATTCTATTTGATGGCCTCATCAGCCTTGTGAGGAAAGAACTCTCATTTCTTTTCATAGGTAAAGAAAATGAGGTTCAGAGAGATGAAAACCCTGAATGAGGTGACACAATTGATAATCAGTACCATTTCTTTGTTCATAACAGTATTGACAGGAAATGGGTATTTGAACTTCTGACGGTCTGCTGCTGATGACAATACTAGCAAACTCAGTTTAGCCAGAAAACGCACTAGCAAAAGTTTCTCAAGTTAAGTGATAAGGCATGGAACGGGAAGGGTTAGACATTTCTTAAAACATGACCTCATTTGAACAGGTAGAGAGACAGGGCAGGAATCCACATATTCAGAGGCGCTCAAATCAGCGCGGGATGTTGACTGCCTATCAGTAGAGCCCACTCCCTCATCACCTCACAGCGACTCCTTGTCACACACAAACAACACTCCCACGGACGGTGAAACCAGGAGGACTGGCACAAGTTTTCCGATTGTCTCAACCTCTAGAACAGAGGTCTTGTTTCATTAATGAGGCTATTCAGAGGCCCTGTTTTCAACAAGCCCCAAGAATTCAGGCATATGTCTGAGCCTGGTTTTGCCTTGTCCAACTAAGCATTTCCTAAAACCACTTGCAATCTGTCTTGGACTTTTTTCAAATGATCAGTAAACAGAGTTACTAATAATCTATGAATCTAAAACAGGTCACAGGGCCGGCCCCGTGGCTTAGCGGTTAAGTGCGCGTGCTCTGCTGCTGGTGGCCGGGGTTCAGATCCTGGGCGTGCACCTACGTACTGCTTCTCCGGCCATGCTGAGGCCGAGTCCCACATACAGCAACTAGAAGGATGTGCAACTATGACATACAACTATCTACGGGGGCTTTGGGGGAAAAAATAAATAAATAAAATT